CCTGGCTGACACTGCGCCCTGCTGTGTGAGGCCAGCTTGTCCCCTCCCAGCCCCCGTTAGCCAGGTTAGCATTGCATTGTATTAGCTCCAGCTAGCTAAAGATTGAAAAAAAAGAAAAAAATTGCTATTTATGGTGTTAATTTCATAGACTTAAGTGTATTCCTAATTTAACGGTGCAAATACTAATGTATATAGTGTACAGTTCAGATTTTAAAGCTGATATTTTTATATCCCTGAATTGCAAGATGTTTGTTACACTGCCGTACGAGGTCTGTAGGGAACCAGAAGCGGAGACGATGCTTGTATTTCAGTCAGGGTTTAGAGTTAGATGGTCAGATTTACATTGCCTAGTGATGGAAAGTTTGGGTTTTTTTGTTGTTTTTGGTTTTTTGCTTTTTCAATATTAAACAGGCTCTGTATGCATGGTGGGGCTGTGTAAATACTCTTAACTATGGCCCTGTTAATCTTACGAGTGTTATTTATGGGTCCAGCAATGTAACTGTACAGATGTAAAAGCAAGGCCCCCCACACGCTGCACGTGTGGCGAGGCCGAGCAGAAGCCGTGTGCTTCGTGTGCTCCCCGGGGTGGGCTCAGCAGGCAGCTGAGGACTCGCAGACCCCTTACCTGGAGGGGCCGTTCCTGTGACCCCTGCCTTCACACGGACGTGCTGGCCTTCACAGCAGTTCTGGGCGTGTTTTCCTTACATTAGAGGATGCTGTGCCACTGGGTGCTTCGCGTTCACAGGAGGTTCTAGTTCAAGGGAGGCCATGTTGGATTGGAACGAATGAGCCGACATCTTCATTTGTGCCATTCTTGCTTCTGTAGCTCCGTCCTAACTGAAGGGCCCCGTGGCACCCAGGACCTCCAGGGAGGTATTTAATAAACATTTAATAAATAACAGACCCTCTTTCAGAATGCAGATCTTTGTATGCGTGTCCACATCACACCCATTCTGCATCTCCTTCCAGCCGTGGTGCATGGTGCAGTCCTGCTACAGGCTGACAGGCCTCCGTAAGACCCCTGCGTGTCCACCAGCCCAGCTAGTGGATGGGAAATAGGACTTAAGGCACAGGGGTCTGAGAGAAGCTGCCAGGCCTTGGGGAGGAACACCGGAACCCAGTAGACACACCAGCGGGTAAGCAGCCTCTTCCGGACCCGCACCTGGACAGGGCAAGGCTTGTGCTGAGAGCTCTGTGCTCAGGAACCGTCATTTCCTGGCCTGCTGCGTGAGAAGACAGAGGTAGTGCAGAGCGGGTGTGAGTGCGTGGTGAACAAGAGGACAAGGCACTGCAGTGGCCATGCCAGGCCTCCCCTTGCAGTGACTGTGTCGCACAAAGCACACTTACCTAAGTGTGTCTCTATGAAAGCAGCAGGGTCCCGCCCACACCGGGACTTGTTTGTCACTTCTGTGGACATTCCACTCTGGTGCTGGGGCCTCAGATGCAGTGAGGGACAAGCAGCTCATCTTTCAGTGCCCAGTGTACGCCGGTCCCACCTGGGTGAGGGACCTGAAGTTCCTCCCCCATCACTCACAGTAGGAGCCCATGCGCACGTGCTAGGGGCGGAACGTGCAGTGTTACAGATCTGAAAAGCTGATGGCATGGCTAATTTTCCTGCACAAGCAGTTCTGCTCTATGCAGTGAGTTAGGGAACCTCGTGCAAAGGGTCTTCAAGGTCACACAAATGCCGATTAGGAACTGCACATTTCTCTGCACCAAAACAAACCTCAATTTTGCCACTAAGTGTCTGACATTGCTTCAGAGAGGGTGCTTATTCTATCAATCACAACCTGATTTTGAAGACATTTTTAGGCCCTTTGCTGCAGTGGGCGTCCTTCTGAAAAGGAATGCTGCTGATAAAGGGTGGGTCAGGGACAGGCACCGGGCACAGGTATGAAGCTGCTGCTTGGGTTGCTTGCATCCCATAATGAGTGTGGTTCAAGTCCTAACTCCATTACCGGTCCCGCTGATGCACACCCTGGGAGGCAGCAGGTGATGGCTCAAGCAAGTGGTGCTGGCCGCCATAGGGGAGACCCCGATGAAGTGCCAGGTTCCTGGCATCAGTCTGTTCCAACTCTGGCTGTTGTGGACATTGGAGCGGTGAACCCAGAATGATAGACCTGCCTCTCTCTGCCTTTCAAAATAAAGTGAAAGTACATAAAACTTTTTACTTAAAAAAAAAAAAAAAGGATGGATAACACATAATAAGTAGGTGACGCAGCCTGGGGAAATCTAGGTACCACCCTCAGTTTTCAAGTACATTCTCAAAAGAGAAACTGCCTCTGCTTCTGGCACCATCACCCTCGTCATGTTTTCACTGCCACATTCAGTTACATAACACTGCCACAGATTTACGGCCATGGGAGATACACCGGGACGAAGCGTGGAAGCTGCGGAACAGAGGGCTGTCTACAAAGGCGGGAAGGGAGTTAATTGCCTTGCAGCTCTGTGAGGAATCGGGCAAGAAAAGAAAGCATGTGGTGGTTGAAATTACAGTTAAGAGGAGGAAAAATAGCTCGGTCAATCAACTTGGGGAGAAATGTCCTAAGAGGAATGTTAAAAGCACAGCCTTTTCTCCCGACATGGGTCAAACAGAGTCTGAAAACCCACATCATCCTCACTGGAGAACATTTTACCCAGAGTCCCTGAAAGGAAGCTGCAAAAAAGGCCACAGACACTCCATGCACTTCCCCAAAAACTGTGTTCTGTCTGCCCTGCCGACCTCTACAGGATTTTCTGTTCCCGAGTTAAAAGCACTGGAAGGGAAGTCATCCCACCGTCTAACTCTCACACAGTGGCGTGAGCTTGGACAGGGGACCTGGACCATGGGATCTGCGTGTGTGGCCTGCATCTGCCCAGCCAGTTCTTCAGGTGACAGGACCTGGGCTCTACGTCGCGGGGGGGGCCATGGGGTGTACAGTATCAGGAATGCCCTGCGGACCTCACAGCGACCCGACCCTGGACGGCGCGAACATACCTGGGCTGCTCCTTTCCAGGGCTCCTGACCGCTGCCATGGAAAGAACAGATGTTGCTGGCCCATCAGGTTTGTTCAAGGACGCCAGATGTGAACCTGGGTGATGTCTCCCAGCTTTGCTAAGCTAGCAACTGATTCCAGCATTTCTGAAAAACGGTCCACAAAACGGAGCCTGCCACGAGCAGCCTGCAAGCCCTGTGTTTTAAATTCAGGCACCTGTCCTTTGAGTTGGGGTGGAAGTACAAGAAAATAGTTGTTTTTATGAAAACACGTGACCGTTCGATGACGACAGAAAGAAGGAAAATTAATGGGGTCAAAACCAAATTCAACTAAGAAGCTTCACTATCGATACCAGCCCCGTGATTATTTAATTAGTTGAGCGGGAAATGTTTCACTGCCTTGCTACTCTAGTGTGCACCAGGATGACCTCGCCATGGGGCATCCTCCCGTATGGCCGTGTGGGTTTCCTGTCAACTCCGCCGCCCCGAAAGGGCGTGCAGGGGCGAGGGCGCAGCAGATACGGGCCTGAAAGGGCGTGCAGGGGCGAGGGCGCAGCAGATACGGGCAGGAGCGAGCGCACGTCTGTCGACACCCCAGAGTCAGAGGCGTGACTGAGGAGGACACTGAGACGTGGGATCTAAAACCTTCCGGCCCGCGGACGCGGAGGGGCAGCCCCGCCCGGGGGCAGCGCAGACCCGCACGGCCGGAGCGGGTCCAGTCCGCCTCAGGGGTCCACTCTGCCCCACTTCTCCGCCAGGGAGACCTCGCGCGGCTGCTGCCCACACACAGCCCGGTGATAGGGGTCCCGGGAGCGGGCGGCGGTACCACCAGCGACTCATTCCCCAACGGAGAAGGATGACTGACCTGAGCATGTCCGCGCGGCGGCACGCGGGCTCCGGCGAAGGCGTGAGCGGGCGTCCCGCGCGCTCTGCGATGGCCCCCGCACGCCTGCGGGGAGGCTGACCCGAGTGGCGAGTGGCGGCGATGCGGCCTCGCCCCTCAGCACGGACCACCCCCGAGACACCGAGGCGCGGGCGGGAAAGCCGCGTGGGCATGGCCGCGCCCTTCTCCCTGGCCCTGCCGTAGGCCGCGGTGGGAAGCTGCCAGCCGCATGCACGGACCTCGGATCCTGCATGAGGAGTTTCCGAGACGCGGCCCGGCGACCTGGCTGCTGTGGGCGCCCGCCTCTGCGCTACCGCCAGCGGCCCACTGCGCCCGAGGGGTTTTCTAGAATACTGCGAGGCAGACATCGTAGACGGACGGGAGCCGCGGGGAGAACGACAAAGCGCAGCTTGGCTTTTCTTCGCGGCTTTCCTAGAGCTGATTCCACGTGCGTCTCAGGACAACTCCGTCACTCGCTAGCCGGACCCGCGAGGAACAGCGAGCTGCCATGTACTGGTTCTGACTGCCCACAAAACCGCTGGCCTCACCAGCTTTGGGCTTCAGAGGTAACGGATTTGAGGAAAACCCTGGCTTGGCCACTGGCTAACTCCACAGCTGTGGGCATGACCTTTGACAGTAAAAAGAAGAAAACCTCAACAGCAGAAGTATTTTCTGAGCCATGAAACACCAAAAGGCTCGTTTGAAGCTTGCTCAACTAGCAAAATAACAGGAAAGGACGGTCCCTCACGGAATCCTATTTAGCTAAACCTGAAATAAACGCATCGTAAGCCACATCCAAAATACTATACTAGACTGTACTCTACAGAAAAGCAGAATGCAACATTAAAACAAAATTAATGGGAGAGGCCAGCATTGTGGGGTAGAGGATAAAGCCAGCATCCTGGTTTGTGACCTGTACGTCCCCCCTTTGATCCAGCTCCCTGGTAACAGCCTGGGACAGTGCAGAACATGCCCCAAGTGCTTGGGCCCCTGCTACCAGGTGGGAGACCTGATAGAAGCTCCTGGCTTTGGCCTGGCCCAGCAATGGTCTTTTCGACCATCTGGGGCTTGAACAAGCAATGTAAGACCTCTGCCTTTTCAACTCTTTCAAACAAATAAATAAATCTTTAAAATAATAAAACATTTGAGAAAAAACTTCAAAACCTTAGGCGACCTGAGTCATAATGACCTAGTGCTAGCACACCATCAATCTCGGAGTACACACAGCTCCGGAGTCACGTTGTGTGCTACAAGTTGCACAAGGCTGTTAACATTTGTCACGGATATCACACTCAGACTGAAGGGCTCACGCAGGGGGCCGGGGAAGCCCTCTGTGTAACTGGTCAGCCCCATCCCAGGATCAGCTATTCCAGCGCAGATGCAGGTAGTCCTGGTCACCACCACCAAGAGTAATGCAGCCTGAAGCCTAGACATTCCTGCTGCTCTCACTGCAAGTTCAGCACTCCATTTGCGGCCCAGGCTTCTTCTGTCTGGTGGTTCTGCAAGAAACAGCCTGTGTGGTGCTACGGCTACTGCTTTGGGAAGGTTGACAGCACAGGGGAAGCACTTCCACTATCCAAAGGGTCCCAGCCTGGAACCAGCAGGACACTGACGCAAATGCCAAAGGGAAAACTTAGCTTCTCACACCTGACTACGAGGATGTGCCAACAGGCCTGTGACGTAGCTCTGTAACTCGGTATCACCTGTCCGACCATGCACATGGGTGTAGACTCTGGTTAACAACCTTAGAGATTGGTACGAGCCCGCCGCAGCTATTTTGTTGTTCACTGGCTTGGGTGACAGAGTTTCAGTAGGGCTGGCAGGATGCACACCCACGAACGTCAGTCTGCAATCACACTACTGCCATTACTCAGGAGCTCTGGGGGCAACCAGAGCACTTAAAGGCAGAGTCGCCTGGGGACTGGGAGCCAACCACCAGTACTTCACCTGACCACCCAAGAACTGTGAGCCTACCTCGGCGCTCAGGATCCGGGACTGGGCACGGAGGTACAGCTGAAACCAGGATGCGTGAGCAGGTTCAGGGCTAGCTAGTGGCCAAGGGCTACAAGAGATCAGTATCTCTGCCAAGAACACTGCCCTCAGAGTGTTTTCCAATTCCAGTCCTCTGCAGAGGGGGAAAGCTGCAGCATTCAGTCCCCTTCATGCTCTGCTCTCACAGAAGGGGGAAGTGTTTATTACTTGTCAACCCTTAAGAGCTCACACTGGGAAGATTCCTGCAACGAAAAACAAAGAAATGAGAAAAACAAGCAAGTTCTCTAACAAGTTCAGTGTGCACTACACAGCAGAGAAGCTACTCAAAGCCGGAGCTGAGGAGTCTGCCTTCAACAGTGCTTTGACGAAGCAGCAACAAGACCGAAGACAAGCAGAAGCAGGCTTCTAAGGTGAGAAACCTCCAGGCAGGGCAATGCATGCAATCAAGCCTGCTCCAGCCTCCAGGAGCTGACATGCAAGTTTGGTGAGGGGCGTACACCTGGTGGTCAGGCGGGGGAAGCAGCAGGCAGCGGCAGAAAGAGCTGTTCTCGCTGGGCATCTGTCCTGCCCGAGGCAAGCGGGCAAAGGCAGAGGTCCCCTGCACTACTGAGTGTCTCCTGCCCACCAACCTTCCTATTCTGGAGACATCCTGCTTCCCTTCCCCACTTTCACCCAACCAACCTCAGCCCCCTGGCCTGCACCCGTCCTTACACCACTCCCTCCTCCTGGACTGCTACTGACTCCCTGTGTTTGCCAGAACAAATCCTATACCTTCAGGACACAGGGGTGCACTGTCACCCATGACCTTCCAAAGACAAATAACGAGTATCTGTGACCTTCCTACCCAACACCGGGTCAACAAGAGGCCCTGAGTACCCGTGACTTCTCCAGCCAATACTGGGGTGGTGAAGACCAATGTTGAGTATCCATGACCTTCCAGACCAACACTGGGGTCATGAAAATGGATATGCGCACCCAGGACCTGCCAAACCATTGAGGTCATTGACAGCTAAGTTTACGTTCTTCAGGAGTTACTACAAAGACAGATCCTTAAATCTGACAATTCTTTTAAATTAAGATTCATACCACAATTATTGTGAACCACTAGGTCAGGCACTGTCTTTTCTTAGCTGTTTTTCACAGGTTAAGACTCCACAGTTAGCACCCTCAGAAGCACTACATGAAAAAAAATAAAAATAAATAAGGTATCTATTTGAAAGACAGAGTTAGAGAGGCGGCGGGGGGTGAGAGAATGCGAACGAGAATGCTTCCCTCACAAATGGCAGTAATGGCCAGGCTGGGCCAGGCCAAAGCCAAGAGCCTAAAACTCAACCTGAGGTCTCTGTGCAGGAGGCAGAGCCTAAGCACGTGGGGCCATCTTCCGAAAGGTTCCCGGGTACATTAGCCGGGAGCTGGATGGACAGTGTGGAGCAGACAGATGGGAACCAGCACCCACATGAAATGCTGGTGTTACAGGCGGCAGCTTAACCTACTGTACCTCACTGCTTGACTGTGTTAGGCTGGTAAAGCAGGACAAAAGACAATCTCGTTATTTAAACTCAGTTGCTTTATTTTGCACTTTTAAAATTCACAAACCACTTTACAGTATCTGTTTTCCTGTTGATCATCGTGGGCTTTGGAGTCAGACAATGACAATTTTATCACTGGGCATACTAAAAACAATGGTTTACAAGCGAATCTCTGTAATTCAGAATGCTTTGCAAAATATACAGTGGTACACAACTGAATTGCCCTATGCTAAAATTAGGATTTAAAAGGCAGCTCAAAAACCCCTGAGGGATTTAACACTGACACCCACAGAACAATGCTGGCAGTGAGCTATAAACAGCTATAGGTGCTACATGGAATTTGGAGAAAAGGGAGGCGGCAGCATCTGTTACTGAGACTTCTGGAGCTGAATGAGTTCCCACTGTCACTTGGTAGCTTCTCAGGCATCATGTTTAGGTCAGCACAACATTCAGATGGCAAAAACAAAGATCCAAGGGGTGCACGCAGCAGACTTAAAAACTCACTGTTGCCCTCAACCAGCTTTTCCACTGATGGAGTGGCCTAACACACATTTTGAGGCACCCATTATAGGTTCGGTTAAATTATCCACACTGCTATTCCCACTGTATTGCAACTTTTATATATTCTGGGGTAGTTCTTTTCATACTTTCTGTAAACGCCACTACAAAGAATGGCTGCACTGGAAGAGAATGGAGAGGGAAAGGAAGGAGAGAGAGGATGACTGGCTGGTTCAGTAACAAACATGATTCCTAGGGCTTCCTCACGGGCGCCACAAAACGATGTATTCTGTCTCAGTGCCAGCATGAGCTGCAAGTGACCAGCAATGAGGGGACTGTGCGAATGCTCCCTGCTGGGGAAGGGCCAGACCACCGACTGCAGGCACGCACTGGAGCTCGGCACCACCTGTGAGGAACTAAGAACTCCTGCCAGCCCTGGCAGAGACAAGGAATTGTGGGTAACCCAAAATGGTCTCACTGTGGGCACCTCATCAGTCACCTTTGTTTTTGAAGTAGGGAGTATGGGCCTATGGAGGAAAGTAAAACCCTGCTACGTCGGCATATTCCAAATACATTTACTAGTTAGGGATTCTCCACTTCCAAATACCCTTCATCCTTCACCTCACGCTGCCTTCCACGAGTCAAAGAGCAGTGGGAGTCCTTGGGACTTTCAGGATGATATTTAAGACGAGACATCGAGTCCAATCAGGGCAAAAGAAAGGGATTTTATTCTGAGGTGCCTTGCCGAGATTTCAAGTACTCTGTTTTGTCACTGAGTCAGAATTATTAGGACAGTACACTTTAACATACACATAGTCCAAGGAAAACAAGCAAGACTCCAAGAAAACCGAAAGTCAGAATTCGAACGTTCTCGCGCACTCGGGAAAGATTACTAAGGCTGAAGTGGAAAATCTGTGAGCTGTGCCTCACACTTCAGGGACCAAACAGAAAATCCAGTGTGGGAAAGACAACGCAGCGCGAGTGAGGACAGCACGTGCCTCCCAGGACTGCACTCTCAAAGCCTGAAAACTTAACTGTCCCAGCACCACCTGGGGACAAAGAGGCTGGAAGAGCGGCTCTGCAGGTGGATGGAGACTATTCCAACTGAGATGTTCGGTTTGACATCTTTATTTGATACGGAAATGTGGTCAACTATCATAGAGTATGTCTCTTCACTGCAAAAATTCCATATATTAAGGATTTATACAATCCAGGGGTGGGGGGTCAAGAACACTTTTCTGAGGGTGAGGTTTTCTAAAAAGGCTCTCCGAACTCTTGAGTGGAAGTGTCGTACTCTGCGATGAAGTGCTTGAGCTCCTCAACACACCGCTCGCCTATCTCGTGTAGATTCTGCCGCAGTGCAAACTGTATGGACTTCTCTAAAGAAGGATCTTTCTCAATCAGCATCTTGACAACCATCCCGAAGGTTTCACAGTCTTGCCGGTAAACCTACAACAGAGAAATACATGAGTTAGCTTGGGGTGGAACAAGGAGCCAAACACGTCATGGATGGGGCTGGCGGAATCATGAAAGGATGCCACCAACAGCTGAGCCCCTCTCATGCTGCTGCAGTCATGTAAAGCTCCCTCTGTGAGACCTGAGGAGACTGTGCCTGAGAAAACCCTGGCGCACCACAGCACGCAGTAAGGGTGTGCAGGGTGGTACCCCTGGGTCTACAGTGTGGGCTCAAAGGCCGTCTGAATGGCAGGGAAAGACGTACCAATGGCTTGAAAAAAAGTGTGACTCCCTTAACTTTAGATCCTTTGTTTAAACTGCTCTCTGCATCTCTCCTTCTTTTAACTCCAACTTCCAAATAAATAAGATTTATTTATTTAGGGGCCGGTGCTGTGGTGTAGCGGGTAAAGTGGGAAAAGCGGCTGCCTGTGGCGCTGGCATCCCATTTGGGCACTGGTTCAAGTCCCAGCTGTTTTACTTCCAATGCTGGCCCCTGCAAAGCAAGGAAAGCAGCAGAAGATGATCCCAAGTGCTTGGGCCCCTGAACCCACAAGAGAGACCCGGAAGAAGCTCCTGGCCCTGGCACCTAGCTCCTACCTAGCCTAGCCCTTGCCGTGTAGCCATATGGGGAGAGAAGCAGAGAACGTAAGATCTCTCTCTAGGCCTCTACATCTTCTTTTCTGTAACTTTCAAGTAACTCAATAAATCTTTAAAATATAATAAATATAAAGCATATAATTATATAATAAATATATAAAGATATAAATAAGTTTTCTTTTTATTCAACCCCCGGAATGCTGAAACCATCTTTTTAGGGGAAAAAGAAACTTTTCAAGTTATATTCAACCACAGTTAAAGTCACAATAGTGTTATCAAAATAATGTTAAACACATGGGCATTCCCAAACGTGTACACACATGTATGTACATATAAACACAGACATATTCTATACATTTTCCCTTCAATGTGCACCTATCTTCTACTTGACCTCAGTAATGTATATATTACTTTATCAGTGGCATATAGGACTATTTCCTGGCCGGCACCGCAGCTCACTAGACTAATCCTCTGCTTGCGGCTCTGGAACCCTGGGTTCTAATCCCGGTTGGGGCGCCGGATTCTGTCCCGGTTGCCCCTCTTCCAGGCCAGCTCTCTGCTGTGGCCAGGGAGTGCAGTGGAGGATGGCCCAAGTGCTTGGGCCCTGCACCCCATGGGAGACCAGGAGAAGCACCTGGCTGCTGGCTTCGGATCAGCGCATCCCGCCGGCTGTAGCAGCCATTGGAGGAGTGAACCAATGGAAGGAAGACCTTTCTCTCTGTCTCTCTCTCTCTAACTCTGCCTGTCAAATAAAAAAACAAAAGAAAGAAAAAAAAAGAAAAGAAAAAAAGCAACTTCATATTGTTTATTCTCCAAAAAAGGAATTCACTCATTTTAAAAAGCTTCAGAAATCAGTGATTTGAGACAGTGCTTAGCTTATGATGGTTTTTATTCTCCAAAATGGTCACTACTAGTTGCTAGTTGTTAATGACTGCAACTGTATTGTTAGATGTCTGTGAGATTTATTTGAATGCTTAAATAGTTATGTATAGAATAAACATTTTTCAAAATTATGATGAAATTTACTGATGCATGATAGCTCTTGAGTTTAGTTCATGAATTTACGCCATCTTCATCCTGAGGTTCCCATGACCCAGACCGGTATCAGTATTGTGGTAAGCTAACTTAGCACACAGGACAGCCCTCACACCATGTGCTGCTGGCGTCGGGAAGGCAGCGCAGCACACCTGCTCTAACACACAGCGCACCCACGTCAAGCGAGCGCTATCTCGGGCTGAGCCAGAACCACAGAACCAGGATGCTCCAGTCTCAGCAGGGTGCCTTCCTGGTCCAGCCAGCCCACAAAATAACGGCTCTCACAGCAGACCGGGCCTCCGCAGAGCACTGTGTGGGTGGCCCGCGGTGTACAAGCTCCTCTGGAACAGATGCACTGGCGGAGGACAAGGTTACACTGTGAAACAACCTGCAAATTCTTTCATGTAAGCCTGCTTCTTACCAAAGCTGTAACCTTTCCTTAAGCCGATTTACAGAACATAAATATAAGTCTGCATATAAAAAAGAAACCATAGTAAAATGTTTATACATTTATTTAAAGTGAAAACTGTTACCCTAGGAACAAAATACTTTAAGCATTCAATTTTTTTTTTTTAATTTTAATTCCTTTTAAATTCATCTGTTAGGGTCAGAAATGTATTTTTACATTATTTGATAAGAACACCTAGAACTGTGGAACCATTTAGTAGAGCCATCCATTAGAGAGTAAATTTCTAAAATGCCAGGTTAAAATGTACTGGTTGGGCATCAGACAGGAAGCAGTTAGTTTTCAAAAAAGGAAGACCTCACCCTCCAACACGTGGAATACAAAACCCATTTCCGAAATCTCTTCCACGGTGAATTCAATCCCCAAACAGGAAGGGTGTAGTTATCTGCGGGAGCTTGTTTGCTTATGGTCCAGAGATGGAAAGACACTAATAATCCTCAGATTTGCTATCTACGGGCCACACAGGATGATGTTCTTGTCGCTGCTATTGTTCTGCCTGGACCTCATGGAAATGAGCAACAGGTTGAAGTGTGGGTGGGGTCCACACACTGCACAGAATCTGAGCTGACTTTGCCAACACAAGGACAACCCTGTTCAAATGTGGCTTCACACACTCCTTTCTCATAGTGGCCTGTGTCAATAATAAAATTCTGGCAGAGTACTTCTAGGAATAAAGGAATGTGACAAAATAAACTATCAAGGTTTTTTCTACTCATCATGCAAGAGTATCAAATTCAATGGCAAATTTATGCTATGGAAAATAGCTTGTAATTACAAAAAAATTCCTCTGCAACATAATTTTACTCTTATCTCTGATCCCACAAAAAACAACAACCATCTCGCCTGAGCTGCTAGAAGGATCTGAGGTTCAACTGAAGCCTATCTAACGCACGCACCACAATCCCACAAGAGCAGCTGAGATGAACAGTGGGCCAGGGCTGCACTATCTATCATGGAACCACTTACGTCAGGGGCTCCTTAGTGATCCCAGAGACCTTAGAAAGTTCATGCAAAGTGGAATTTAAAAAACTGCATATTTTGGGGTGTTGAAAAATTTTATATTCCATGTTGTTTTTTCAATGTACGCACTTTCCATGAGCTTGTTGAAGACCCCTCTTATATACAGTCATTGGAAAAATACATAGACACTGTATATTTAACTATAATTTATGCACTATTACAAGTTAACAGGTTAACAGGCCAAGACACAAACAGCCCAAACAGCTGGGAATCCAATGAGAACTCTGTTCCCTAATTTGCTGATACTTCACCATTTCATGTAATTGCTTTTATCTCAACTCATTTGATTCAAATGCTGTCAGTCCGGCTTCAGGAGTTATACCCTAGACTGACACTTACCCAGCACAAATGAGACGCAGAGAGTTTAGGGAAGGGAACACGAACAGAGGAGTATTTCAAGAAGAGGCTTATTAATCAGACCATTTCCATGAATATATAAAGTGCTATTTAGCAATGTTGTCAGAGAGGACTGAAAAGTGGCCAGAAATGACAGATGGCTGTCATACTAGGTGTGGACCTGGTAAATTTAATAATACATACTTGGCAACTGTTTTACCATTAAAGTGGGAAAGGAAGCAAAGCACCTTTAAATGGGCACTATGAAATATAATTAGTATCTGCAAAACGTTCTACAACTTGTTGACAAAAGGCATATAAATATCGAAGTTTAAAAACACCCATAATCTGTAATATATTGATGAAGTTGGGCAAAATGTGACAGCACACCAGTGTTAAATACTAGAGACGAATGCAAACCCTCTAATTTGGCTGCATAGCAACACAGAAGGTGTCAAAACGCCTGGAAGCTATACACTGCTGCTGTGTTGGATTAGAAGAAAAAGCCATCTATGTGCCTTCTTCTCAAAGCAACTGCCCCAGTGGCTCTGAAAAGCATAGTTCCAGCAAGATTTTTCGGGGTGCCAAGAAGTGTTCTCAACCATCGACCTTCATTCTGTGCGTGAAATTATTACAACTATGGGACCGGCGCTGTGGCACATTGGGTTGATACCCTGGCCTGAAACACCAGCAGCTCATGTTGGTGCCGGCTCAAAACCCGGCTGCTCCACTTCCAATCCAATTCTCTCTCTCTATTGCCTGGGAAAGTAGCAGAATATGGCCCAGGTCCTTGGCACCTGCACCTGTGTGGGAGACCTGGAAGAAGCTCCTGGCTTCGGATCAATGCAGCTCCAGCCGTTGAGGCCAACTGGGGAGTGAAACATCGAATGGAACATCTCTCTCTCTCTCTCTCTCTCTCTCTCTCTGCCTCTCCTCTAACTCTAATAAACTTTCAAATAAATAAATAAAGAAAGAAATCCTAAAAAATACAACTATGTAGATGAGTAACTGCAAAATAACAAGTGAGTGTAAAAAGCCTTAGGAACCAACGTGTGTACAATTCCCACACATAAATCCAGATCAATTCATAAATTCACAAGATTCCACCAAAGATGAATAATCACTTAATCGTGACTTTTTTCCCATTTTGGCTTATTTCAATAACACACTAAATAAATAATAAATAATAAATAATTCCAGTCTACAACATATTTCACTGATGCCTAAACTAGTTAACCACAGAAGTTTTTGGTTGTTGTTGTTTAGGTTTTAATTGAAGAGGAAAAGAGATAGAGAGATACCTCATCCAGCAAAGTACTCTCCAAGTTCTGGCAATGGCTGGGGCTGGGCCAGGTTAGAGCTGTGGACAGGAACTTAATCCAGGTCTGCCTGTGTGGCAGGCACCCCAACAACAGATTTTGCTTACTTGCTACAGATGGTGTAAGCGGGTTTTACATCAACCTCCATGTACTGAGGACAACGGCCTGCTCTGAGGACAGAAAGATGTCAGCTGACCTTCTGCACTGGACTGCAAGCTAGC